GGGGCCCAAAACAGCCCCCCTCCCCCCCCCCCCCCCCGCCTGCTGCGCAGCGCTGTGCCGGGTGGCGTGGACCCGGCCTGCTTCGTCAGCCCCGATGCACAGTGCTTCCAGTCGGCGGCGCTGGGCGCGCACCCCAGGGCCGCGGGCGTGGCGGCGTTCGTCAAGGCGCGGCAGGGCTACCTGTACCCGCTGCCCTCCGCCCTCTGCTTCCTCGAGGCGGTGAGTGAGCCGTGGCCTGGGCAGACCCCTTCCTGCCCGCCCTGCACTTGGTTGCTTTGCCCCCTGCCTGCTCACCTCCCGGACCTGCCTGGGTCCCACGGCACACCATTAGGTTAGGCCTGACTGCCCACCTCCTTGCTCCCCTCCCTTCTCCCGCTCCCCCTCCCTGCCTGCAGCCCGCGCTCTACCTGCCCCACTCCGCCATCCGCAGTATGGAGCTCATGCGGGCGGGCGGCACCTCCAGCACATTTGACCTGGTGGTGCACCTGTGCGGCGGCGGCGTGCAGGAGTTTGGCATGGTGCCGCGGGAGGAGGCGGCGGGCATCGAGGGTGGGTGAGGCGCCCCGCCGCCTGCTGGCTGCGCTGGGCGGCTCTTGTGCTGTGTTGATGCCGCCTGATGTGGCCGAGCTCCAGCGGAGGGTGGGGACCAGTTGGCGGTGGGCTGGACAGCATGCATACGAGCTGAGAGGCGTGGCGCGCTGCTTGCAGTGCGCCCTCACAGCCTGCTGGCCTGTCCTGCCCGCCTGCTCCGCCTGTCCCGCAGAGTACGTGCGCAAGTGCCGGCTGGCGGTGGGTGCGGCGGAGAGCTCGGAGGATGAGGGGGCTGCTGAGGGCGGCAACGGCGGCGGCGCGGCGGAGGCTGAGAGCGGCTCGGATGATGATGCAGAGGTGGGTGGTAGGGAGGTGGTGGCTTGATAGCCGGCCAGGAGACGCGCTGGCATTGCAAGTGTGGGATGGGAGGAGCGGGATGCCTAGGAGGGCAGCCAGCTGCATGTGAGGTTTGCAACAGGCATGCTGTGCGCATGCCCACGGAGGGTATGTATCTGCCAGGCTGAGTGGCAGCTGTGTGTGCTGGCATCTGTGTGGTTTGCAGGACGAGGATTTTAATCCATCCAGCAGCTCTGATGATGACGAGGAGGAGGAGGGGGAGGGCGGCCAGCGGCAGCCCCCCGGCAGGCGACCACGCCCTGCAAGCGGCGAGGATGGCGCAGGTGGGGCGGTGGCCGCGGCCTGCTGGCCTTGACCCTGCTTTCGAGCCTGGACGCCGACTGCTCTCTTGGTTCCTGCGACTAGCTCGACAACACCAGCACATCTGCCTGCCTGCAGAGGGCCAGGAGGGCGCAGCGGCCGGCGCCGGCGCCGGCCAGAATGAGGCGGAGGCAGAGGAGGAGGAGTCTGATGATGATGAGGAGGAGGATGAGAGCAGCTCTGAGGAGGAGAGCAGCGACGAGGATGGCAGCGTGGAGCTGGTGTCAGAGGATGACTTCTCTATGGGCCAGCTGGAAAGCGTGATGGCGGGGGAGAGCAGCGGCAGCGGGCGCCGCGCCAAGCGGCAGCGCACGTGACGCCGCTGGTGCCGAGCGCCGGCGCATGAAGCGCATGAAGCCGCCATCCCAACCCCTGCCATTCAGAGCCCGCGCTGGCTATGTCAGGGGGTTACAGGCTTTCATTCCTTTCCTTTGCAACAGAAAACTGCTAGGTCCGGCATCATTGGTTCAGGGCATCTTGGCAGGGCATCATGCAGCAGCAGCAAGCAGGCAGGTAAGGGTTGGGCAGGTATGATGTAGGAAAGGCTCGGCAGGGATGAGCAGCCAGGAACAACAAGGGGGTGAGGGGAGCGGGAAGTGGCACAACACCTGCCGCCGCTGCGCTGGCAGCGCACGCCAGCGCTCAGGGGCTGCTGCCGTGCGGCGTCAGCAGCGCCGCCGAGTTGGCGGAGTGCGACAGAGCGCTCAGGGTGCCGCGCATCAGCGGCGGCGAGTTCACCACTCGGTACACGGCGGCAAAGTGCAGCAGGGCGGCCAGCGTGACAAAGCAGTGGAAGACCTCGTGGTAGCCGAAGACGTGGGGCACCGGGTCGGGCCACTTGAGCGCATACACAACCGCCTGCAGCGCAGCGCAGCGCGGGGGAAGCTCAGCCGGCGGCATGCAGGCAAGGTGCGCACGGCGTGCGGGCAGCAGCAGCAGCAGCCGGCGCATGCATGCCATCGTGCGGGCTCGGGCTTGGCCCGCTCTGGCTGGCCCGCACGACGGCACAAAAGGAATGAATGATCAATTTACCAGTCAACCAATCACCAATTACACACATCCCGCCCCGGCTCACCCCCAGGCTGTAGATGACGCCCCCCGCCACGATGAGGCCCACATCCAGCCCCTCCAGGGCGTCGTGGTACTGCCGCGCAAAGGGCAGCACCGCCCACCCCAGCGCCACATACAGCGTGGCCGCCACCGCCTTGGGCGCATGCGAGAAGAAGAGGCACTGTGCGATGCCTGCCAGCGCGCCGCCCCACACCAGCGCCAGCAGCCTAAAGGACTGCGGGGCAGGCGGGCAGGGTGGGAGGAGCGGTGACGTGTCGGAACAGTCGGGGCGACAGGGGTGGCCGGCCGGCCGGTGGGCAGAGTGACGAAGAAGGCAGGCAGGCAGCTTCGGGTCCTGACCCTGCATTGCTGCCCGCCCAGCCCCTGCCCAGCCGCGGCATGCCAGCCAGCCAGGCAGCCGCCTGCCTGCGTGGAGTCCAGCGCCAGCAGCGCCAGCGGGGTGTTGGTGCCTGCGATGAGCAGGAAAATGGCGGCGTGGTCCAGCCGCCGCATCACCTGCCGCGCCTTGGGCCCCCAGGAGGGGCGGTGGTACATGGCGCTGGTGCCAAACATGGCTGCAGGGGGAGAGATGGCAACAAGGGGGCAGGGAGAGAGGTCAGCAGCGAGCGAGGCGTAGGACGGGCTCTATCAAACCCCGGCCCATCAAAGCAGGCCCACTCCTCGCTCACCGGTGGTGCTAAGGGTGTACACGATGCAGCCCCACCGGGCTGTTGGCGACTGGGCGTCTAGCACTAGGAGAATGCCCACAGCGGCCGCCACGAACACGGCATAGTGGTGAATCGCTCCGCGCAGCCTGGCCTTAGGCGGGCCGTTGTCGTCGGCAGCGGCAGCGGCGGGAGCAGGGGCGGCAGCGGCCGAGGCACCCTTCCCGCTGCTGCGCTGGTGCAGCGAGGACGCCATCGTTCCTGCATGGTGAGCAGAATTGGGGTCAGAGCGGGTTTGCCAGAAGCGCAGGACATTTCGGGGGAGACGCTGGGGCAGGCGATGGCGGCACCCACCCCGCTGTTGCACGTTTGCGGCCGACTTGAGTGGCAGGATGCGTGCGCTGGAGCTGAATCTGGCAAAATTCAGCCCGGTCTGACACTCGATCAGTCAGAGGAGGTCAAAATTCTGCTCCACAGCGAGGCTCCGCTGCTGCGGATGAACACACGATTCAGCCTCGGGACGGCAACGATCAAGGCTTCAGCAATTTGGTCGCCACTTTCTTGTCCCGCCTCGCCGCCTCCAGCCGTCCTGCCGACGCCTGGAAGTGCTCGTCCCAGCATGGCTGCAGCCTCATGCAGGATCACCAATGGATGTAATGCACAGGATTTCGACAGAGCGTTTCAAGAGAGCTGCAGACAGCAATTGGTGGGAAATGGAGCCGGCTTCAGCGCAGGGCGTAGCGCTGACCAAACGGGTCACGCCCTATGCGTCACAGCAAGTCCCTGCATCATGCCAGCACTTCGCATCAACTACATGTGGGCGTGTACGAGCTCATATCCTGGCCCAGAGGACCATCAACTTGATGGGGCAGAACATGCGCCTACTTGGCGGCGGCAGGGCGGGAGGCTCCCACCCATCGCTGCATGCAACTGTGGCACATACTCTGCACAGCTAAAGTTGCTGCCCGACCACCACCGCCGCGCTCACAGTCGCTGGAGGCGTGTGTCTGCTGCGGACCACACCACGCATTCCGCCTCCACGCCGGCCAGAAGCAAAATTCGATGTCGCAGTGTGTCCTGGGAACCGCGGCCCCTGGGCCCGTGGCACAAGTACGATGGGCGGGTGGGCGGCAACGGCTGCGGCTGGTTGTCGTCGCCGGCTTGGGCTTCGGCAGCACGCCGCAGAAGACGAGCGGCAGCAGCAGCAGCAGCAAAAAGGTGGGTCTGGTTTGTTTCGTGTGATACTGACTTGTTTCGATGCCATCATGGCAGACACAGTTGCCCGCTTTCGCCTGGCGGCTCCGCACCCTCTGCGTCAACCTCCCTCTGCCGCCGTGCATGGCCGCAGCTCCGGCGGCCGCACTGTGCCCACCAGTCCACTGCCCGCCCGCCTCACCTGTCCTTGCTGCCCTGCAGCAGCCCAGGCTTGCTCGCTACCTGGAGAAGGAGGCGGGCCAGCAGGGGGGCAGCGCGGGAGCAGCCCCCGAAGCCGACGGCTGGGTGGAGATGCCCGGCGTCGACCCGGCGACCACCTTCCTCAGCAAGCCCATCAAGCCCCTGATCCTGGCCACAGGCCGCGCCGTGTGCCTGTACAAGGCACGTGCCTGGCTGTGCGCGTGTGCATGCATGGCCTGTCATGTCGCAGGGCAGTCGGCTGGGGTTGTGGCTGGGTTTGTGGCATGCCCCCAGCTACTTGCATCTCAGCCACGCTGCCCCACCCCTCTCGCCCCACCCACCCCATTGCAGGTGGAGGACACAATCTATGCCACCGACGCCAACAGCACCGCCTACAAGTACCCGCTGGCAGACGCCAACATCCTGAGCGTCAAGGGCAAGCCGGCAGGTGCGTGCGCCTGAATGTGCATGTCTGGTGGTGGTGGCGGTGGTAGTGGGGGTGGGGCCTCCTGACCCCAGAATACCACCACAACCGGCCCCACCTCCCTGCCGCAGTGGAGGTCCCGCTGGATGGAACCGTGTACGACCTGGCGAGCGGCAAGGTGCTGTCGTGGTGCCCGAAGAACACCCTGGCCAGGAAGGTGTTGGGCGGCTTGAAGGTAGGTTGAGGGAGCGGAGTGGGAGATGCTCCATACACGATGGCCTACCCTCCCCATTTAATGTGCACCTGAGAGGCGATACTGACAGGCTAACTTGGGCTGTTCCCTGCAGGACAAGTCGGAGCCAGAGGATCTGCCCGTGTATCCTGTGGATGTGCGCGGCGACAGGGTCTTTGTTAAGTTCATCTGATCAACCTTTTGATCAGGCACAAGCCCCAAGAAGAGCACCACCATTTCACCCCGAGCGGCACAAGAACAGCATTGCACTATCTTGCTTTACCAACCCACGCTGGCACATCATCAGGCAGCTATCATCGTCTGGTCATATTCTTGATGATTACTGTTTGTTTCAAAATCTAACAGCAAGCATCAAACAGGAGCAAGGAAGCTCAGCACTGTGCGTATTGCAACAGGGGAGTGAGAGCGGGACATGCAAACAGAGGCGGAGGCTGGCCCTCTGTCTGCGCAAGGCAGCAGCGCGCAGCAGTGCACCAGGGCTCAGGCCTGGAAAGAGAAAAACGTGGGTTTCATTTGGTAACGCTCACAGGGTAATAAGGAGCAGGAAAAATGAGGGCAGGGAAAGCAAAGGCCTCGAGCAGGCTGAAAGAATGTATGCAAGGGCATGCACGGCCCAGGCAGCCATCTGCAGGCCGAGCGCCGGCGGCTCAGGCTGGGCAGCAGGCTGCGTCCGGCCCCAGCCACAAGCCCACCGTGCCTGCCTCGGCCTACTGCACCACCAGGTTGGCCCGCATGCCGGCGGAGAAGTGGTCATGCACCACACAGTAGACGGGCCAGGTGCCCGCCTGCTGCGCCTCCACATCCACCACCCGCGTCACCGTGGGCATCAGCTCTGCCGTCTGGTAGGCCGCCGACTTGGAGCGCAGCACCTGCCCCGTGAACACGGGGCTGTGCATGTCGGCCTCTGAGCCCATGCCCACCAGCAGGAGGCGCAGGGTGGAGCCGCGCACCGCCTCCAGGCCGGGCAGGTTGCAGTAGAGGTAGCCGTTGATGGCGTGCTTGAGGTTGGACTCGCCCCACACAGCTGCACGGCGGCGGGGGAGAGGCAGGGAGTGAAGCAGGGCCAGGAGGGGCACAGCAGGCACAGCATGGCACGGCACAGCATGGCATGGTCGACATGGCAAGGCACAGGATGGCATGGCACAGCACGGCACGGCGTAGCATGGCGTGACTGCCAGCCGCCCAGGCCCCTGCTCACGTTCGTAGGTGGCAGCCACGCCCAGCCCCGCAGCCTCCAGGTTCTGCTGCAGGTACGGGCTGACCGCCTCGTTCAAAATGGTGAACAGCAGCGGCACCATGGCATCCACGCCCTGCGGCAGGTCGCCGGCCTTGCTGTCCGCCCTGCAGCGGGAGCGGCGCGCGGCGGGAGCGACGCAAGGTGAGGCAGGGGAAGGCGCCGCCAGCGAGCCAGCTCTCTGTGCACACATGCAGCTCGTTTTGCGAGCAAGCAGGCAGGCAGAAGTGCAGGCAGGCATGGCAGGCAGCCCGGCAGGCCCTCAGCGGTACTCAGCAGTACTCAGCGGTACTCACCCCGTGAAGGTGCCGGGAGAGCCCACCACCAGCACGCCCACCAGGCCCGCGTTGGGGTGCGCCACCAGGTCGACCGATGAGGTGTACACATAGGCGACGGTGCTCAGGTCTTCGCTGGCGGGTCCGGCACTGCAGCGCACGTGCAGGACCCAGCGGGAGGACGGGAGGAGGCAGGTCAGCGGGGAGGCATTGAGGACCGCCAGTGCTGACAGCGGGCTGCCAGCCAGGCCCGGCGCCCGGACGCGCTGCTCCCAGCCGCTGCTGCACCGCCCCTAGCCCACCTCTCGGGCACGTAGTAGCGGTAGGTGGCGTTGCCGCCGGGGGCCACAGGGGCCACCAGCGACACGTCCTTGCCGTCGGCGCCCGCGGGCAGCAGCTCCAGGCCGCCGTCGAGCATGAGGTTGGCTGGAAGGTCCAGTCTGTTCTGGAACACAATCTCCAGCGCCTGCCCCACCTCTGTGACCAGCGTGGGACCCAGGATGCCCTGCCACGCGGGCTGCTCCACGGGGGTGGTGAAGGTGGCATCGGTGTACTGCTTGTACTGCGCCTTGGTGAAGTTGCTGCCGATGCTGCCGGCGGTGCGCGCCACAAACACTTCCGCGTCAGGCCTGCGCCGCAGCAAGCAGCAGCGCCAGGAGCAGGGGTGGCGTCAGGGGCTGCTGGCATGAGCGGCGCGGCTGTGGCTGCGCTGTGGACGCGAACTGCATCCCAGCGGCATGCATGGTGATGTGGGGTGGCAGCAGCAGCCCTCCACGACCACAGCTGCCTTCTGCCGCCCGCCAGCCGCCTGCTACACCCCCCGGGCGGCCGTGCGCCTCACCCAAAGGCGCTGTTGGTGCAGCCATCAATGCCCAGCGGCACATAGTCCCACTCCACCTCCTCGGCAGCAATGAAGTAGCGGCGCACGGTGGTGGCGGCGGCGGTGGTGTCCTGTGCCTCCGCCACTTCCTCAGAAGCAAGCACCTTGACCACGGCTTGCATGCCTGCAGGCAGCAGAGCACAAGCCGGCGCGGCCAGTCGTCAAGCCGCACTTGCCTGGGTGCGGTGCACCAAGCAGCGGCGATCCCGAGGCGTGGAAAGTGCCAGGGACATAAGCGCAGGGTGTGCTGGGGACAAGGTGTCACCAAGGCAGCGATGGGAGGCGCTTCGCTGTGGCAAGGAAGGCCGAGGAAGCAGCAGCGAAATGGGGCCCACCTGCGCTGATGTGGTCGGCCACGCGGCACTGCACTGTGGAGATGCCGGGGTTGGCCATCACAATGTCCACGCTGTGCATGGCGCCGGGCATCAGGCTGCGCGGGGCAGGCAGGCAGGCAGGCGGGGGTAGAAGAGGCCGGGAGCAGGTCAGGAGGCAGTCCGGCGTGGAGGCGCCCCAGGTGGACGAGGCGAACCAGGCGAGGAGTGCAGGCAGCGGGGCGTGTGAGTCATGCTCCATGGCTGCCTGGCATCGGCGAACGCAAGGGCTGGCAACGCACGGCGCGCCGTGCCAAGCGTGCCAGGCAGGTTTCTTTCGCGCTCACCCGATGGCGGAGCTGCGCTGGTTGTCTACCTGGAGCGACTGCCCCACAAAGTTGGGTGTGTGCATGTCCACTGCAGGCGGGGACACACACAGATGCATCAAGGTCCAGCACGGCAAATTCAGGTTGAGTGCCAGCGGCTGCCAGCTCCGGGGAGCCCACGACTGGACAATGCTGTGCATGAGCAGCGCACTGGGGGGGCAGCCCTACGCACCCTCTGTGCCCAGCGCCAGTATGTGGAACCGCACTTTCTCGCCCTGGGTGAAGGTGAGCTGTGGCATGTTGCAGTACAGGTAGCCTGCAGGCGGTACGGAACGGACCAAGAGGGGGTACAAGTCAGCGCGCATGCTCCAGCTGATGGAGGGCTCGAGCGCAGCAAGGCAGAGATGGAGCAGGCTGCAAGCTAGGCTGCTGTTGGCGCCTCCCAGCTGTCTGGCTGTTGCTGGGCAGGACAGCGGCAGGCCGCAACCAAGCCTACCGTTGATGCCGTGCTTCAGCATGGGCTCCTCGTACCCCTCCTCCTCCTCCTCCTCCTCCAGCAGCCGGCGACGCAGCCGCGCCAGGCGCCGGCCCGCGGCCGCTGTCTGGTTGGCGGCCGCGGCGGCGGCCGCGGTGCCGGCCGCCTGCTGCTGCAGCTGCTCCTCCTGCAGCGCCAGCTGCTGGTCGGTGGCCGCCTGCGCGTTGTACGCCGCCTCCGCGACAGACTCCCAGGCTGCACGGCAAGCGGGGCAGCGGCACGGGAGTGAGAACCTGCGTATGTTTGGCGCCCATGGGGTGGCTGCCCTGGCGCGCCCAGGGCACGCTCGGCAGCCCCCGCGGAGCCACGCACTGGCATGCAGCCAGGTGGGCGGGCAGGGCGCAAAGCCCAGCGCTTCCCATCATCTGGGCGACGCTTGGCGGCCAGATGCGGGCCGCTGCGCGGAGCGCCCGCCCGGCGGCTCACCCTCGATGCTGGTGAAGCCCATCTCCTGGGCGTTGACGTCGGCATACAGCGAGTGCACCTCGTTCGACACCATGAACAGCAGCACCACCTTCCTGAGGGCGGGCAGGCAGGCAGGCAGGCGGGAGCACACTCAGGCAGCCGTGAGTGGTAGGGGGCAGGGCAAGGCGCAGCCAACCAGGGAAGCATGCATGGAGCAAGGGGAGAATGCATGGGGCAGGGCACGGGGGTGGCCGTTGTGCACGACCAGGCTGCACCCGCCCGCCGCCCGGCCCGACTCACTTGTCCACATCCTGAGCTGTGAGGTCTGCCTTGAGCGAGCCCTTGCGCCCAATCACCAGCGCGCCCACCAGGCCCGCATAAACATCTTCCACCTCGTCTGCACGGCGGCGCAGGAGCGGGCAGCAGTTCGGAAGCGGTGCATGGGCAGGGAGGTGCAGGCCAGTTGCAGGGCAGATGCAGCCTAGGCGCAGGCCAGGTGCAGGGAAGCGCGGCCGGATGCAGGCGAGGCAAGGTCGAGAGTGGTACATGCAGCGGCTCACTGGTGTGGGAGTGGTACATCCAGACGATGTTGGAGAGGTCTGCAGGGCCGGGCCCAGAAGTCTCTGCCACCTGCACAACGCCACACGCAGCCCAGCACACAGACGGGTGTGAGGGGCGAGGGGAAGGGGCGCGGAGACAGCCGCCGCTCCCGAGCGCTGCCCCGGGCCCCATGCCCTCCCACAGCTGCTGCCAGCTGGGCGCGTGCTCCTGCGTGCCTGCCAGGTGTAGGTGTAGGTGGTGCCCGGCTGCACGTGGTCGTCATCCCTGTCGGCCCCTGCAGCAGCCACAGCAGCCAGCGCGTGGCACGTCGATGCCCAGGCGCCCAGCGCAGTGCCTGGCCGGGCGCCAGCCAGCTGCAGACCTGCGCTCGGATCGACGGCCTCATCCCCAAACACTAGGCCGGGCACCCAGGCACGGCATCCCTCGCGTCCGCCGCATGCCACCCACCCATGGTGCCATCAAAGTAGGGCGATCCCTCTGAGTTCTTAAGGTACGCCACGCCGTGCGGGTGCATGGTGGCGGGGAAGCGCAGGCTGTTCTTGAACACCACCTGGATCGTATCCCCCACCTCGGCGCGGATGATGGGGCCCAGCAGGCCCAGGTAGGCGTCGGAAGCGCTGCGGGGAGAAAGAAAGCCCGGGGCGGCGCGGGGCGGCGCGGCGTCACGCAGAGGACGGGGCAAGCACGGCCGCACATGGGGATGGGGGCAGAGGTTGAGGAGAAGCGCGGGCGCATGCAGGGGCCCATATGCCGCCAGCCCCACCTGACCGGCTTCTTGGTGGTGAAGGTGTCGTCGGTGTACTCGATGTACTGCGCCTTCATCAGCCTGTACCGCCAGGCCAGGCAGCAGGGAGGCGGTGTGAGGACGACGGTGGGGTGCATGCCCGGGACGCCCGGGATCCCGGCTGCAGGCATCTGCCTTTCTGCACACACAGCGTGGCACAGTGTGCTGCATGCCGCACGTGCACGCCCGCCTGCTCACTTGCTGCCGGGGCTCAGGTGGTTGGCCTCGGTGAACACCTCCTGCTCCTCGGTCCAGGGCAGCAGGGAGCCGGTGCAGTAGTCGCCGCCACGCGGCGCGTAGTCCCACTCCACCTCCTCCGCCTCAACGTAATACGTCCTGCAGTGGGCGGGAGCAGGGAGGGAGGGCAGGAGGAAAGTGAGGGGCAGGCGCCAGGTGCTGAGGGCAGGGGCGGGCGGGGAGCGGGAGGCGGCGGCGCCCGGCGCCGCTGCCGCATGCGTGCGCGGTGATCTTTGCGGGCGGCGCCCGGCTGCGCGGCGGCCGAGCGGCGCCCACCTGACGGTGCCCGAGGGCCGCACGCCGCCCAGCGTCTCCATGCCGTTCCCCGGGTTGACCTGGTACATTGCCTTCATGCCGGCCTTAAAGGGGTCGCCCCAGTGGCAGGTCATGGGCCCAAAGCCGGCGTTGTCTGTGGGGAAATGCCAGGTGCGCGCCGTGCCCGGGATCATGGGCAGGTGGTTGGCGCGGTGGCCGTTTGCTCCAGCCCAAGGGGGCAGGGGCAAGGAGGGCGGCGGGGTCGGAAACCAGGAAGGGAGGGGGGCGCGGCACATGCCAGGCTGGCCGCGCAAGCGCCCAGGCGTTGGGCCAAGCCAGGCGCGGCTACACTCAGTTGCAAGGCCAGGCAGAGCCAGGCCGGGCCACACTCACTTGAGGAAGGTGTTGCCGTGGAGGTGGAGGTTGTGCATGTCGACTTCGGTGCCCACGCTGCCCATGTGCCACCGCACCCTGCAGCGCACCGGCCCGGAGCGGCACGGCATCAGCACGAGGCGGGCGGGGAGCGCGCGCACCCGGGCAGAGCCGCCTCGAAAGCATCCATCCCCTCACGCCACGGCGGCTGTGCATATGCAGGCCAGGCAAAGCCACGCCGCCGCCAGCCGGGCGCGCCTCCCCGCGCGGGAAAACTCACTGCTGGCCCTGCGTCATCTCCATGCCGGGGGTGTTGCAGAAGACGTAGCCATTGATGGCGTGCATGAGGTTGCCCTCCGCCAGGCCCGCCTCGGTCACGCCCATCTGCGCCGCCGTGCGGTTGGCCAAGTTGGCCTCCAAAAAGGGGCTGGCGTTTTCGTCCAGCACCTGCAGCACGGTGATGATGTCCAGAGGCTGCCCCGCCGCCACGTCGCCAGTGTTGACCTCGGGCGTGTTGCTGCGCGGGCGGGAGGCAGGGGGCAGGCAGAAGAGGGCGGGGTTAGACGGGCAAGGGGCAGGGCGGGGCAGAGTCTGGGGTGATCAGGCAGCAGGAGAATTGCTGAGGCGCGGGTGATATGCAGCAGGAAAAATGACAGCGACCACAGGCCGCGGCGCGAGGCGTGTGGGACCGCCCAGGCCCGAGCGGCGCCCTGGCTGGCTGCCCAGCGCGGCAGCCAGGAGCCGCACCTGACGAGCAGCGGGCCCACCAGCCCCGCGTTGGCATCGGCCACCAAGTCCACGGTGGACCTGCGCGGCAGACAATCACAGCCGCGCAAGCATGTGCAGGAACCGTTTCAGCTGCGGCAGCTCGAGGAGGCCTTACATGCACCGTAGCAGCAGCCACGCCACGGCCCCCGCCCTGCTGCCCCGCCGCAAACATGTCGCCCCGCTGCAGCCTGCCGCCGCCAGCACGCAACCTGCTGCTGCTGCAGCCCCCCCACCAGCCAGGCAGCCAGCCCCACCTGTACAGCCACAGCTTGGCTGTCGGCTCCATGTCCTGGGGGCCCATGCTGGCGGGCACCAGCCAGCGGTAGGTGGCGTTGGCGCCGGGCGCCACGGCGCGGGCCAGCGCCGCCGCCGCGTCGCCGCCGGCTGCCACCTCGGGCTGCACGCCTGCCGGCTCCAGGTTGACCGGGAAGCCCAGGTTGTTCTTCAGCACCACGGTCAACACGTGGCCCACCGAGGCGCGCAGCACCGGCCCCAGCACGCCTGTGTGCACCTCGGAGGCGGGCTTGGGCACCAGCGTCTGCGGGCAGCGAGAGGCGGGCGAGAGGCGAGCAAGCGCGGGGCACGGTGGAGGTGGCGCCCCCAGCAGGTGCGTGCACGCGCTGCGGCGGCGCACGCCTGGCGCACGCTGTGCGCAGCGCAGCAGGCGGCCACGCCCGCTCCGGGCCAGCCACGCACCTGGAAGGTGGCGTCAGTGTACTGCCTGTATTGCGCCTTGGAGTACACACTGCCCACGCCCAGCTTGGTCCACAGCGACGGGTCGCCTGCACACCCGGGCGTGGCGGCGGAACAGAGTCGGCCGCCGCGACGTGCACGCAGGTCGCCAGCGGCGCCGCCGGTGCGCGGCACACTCACCGACAAACTCCTCTCCTGTGCACAGGTTCACGCCCGATGGGGCATAGTTCCACTGCACCACATCTGCCGCAATGTAGTACGTGGGCCCGCTGGCTGCGGGCTGCTGCGCCGCCGCAAGGCCGGCCGCCGCCAACAACACCAGGGCGGGGCACCACCCGGGGAGCGCGCCCTGTCGCCCCATCCAGGTCGCCTATGTGCCCTGAGTGTGCGGTCCAGCACCTGGGGGCCGATACCTTTGCGCAAGCAGCACCGGGATGCAAGGACCGGGTGCCGACAAGGGCTCCAAGACAAGGCGGGAGGCGACTAGAGCAGGATGATTAATCAATCGGGAGATGCGAGGGGCTGTTTTTGGCCTCAGACCAGGGGGGCGTCTTGGCACACGCCAAGCACGGGTGCCTTGCCTCCGGCTTTTGAGGGTTGCACCCCGATCGATTTGGCGGCCTTTTAATGACCAAAGGTTGTAATTAAATCCATATGCATATGAATGCGGGGCCAGCAAGCCCCCCTGCACGATTCGCGGTGCCTTCTTAGCGCCCTGAGCGCAGCACACAGCATGGACACCCCCCAACTCACAGCCCCGGCCCCATCAGTCGCCCCTGTTTCCTGCAGGTGTAGGTTCGGGTCGACTTCACTGCACCATGGCGCTGGCGGTGATTTGTGGCTCACCCTTGGGCACCACAAACCGCGACCTACAGCCTCCCGGGACTTCCTGGCAGCGAATCATCAAGCCTGGAGCGGCATCTGGAGCGGCGCAGCGGGCGGGACCCGGCTGCAGTGTGCTGGGTGGTTGGTTCCGCCACCCCGCCGCACGACGCCGGGCAGCGGTTGTGGCAGCAGCAGTGGGGGGCGACGACGATGCCCCGCCCGCATTGCTAGGCAAGTGCACGAGATGTATGGGCAGCAGGCAATGATGGACGTGTTTGCACGGCCGCACGGCCAGCCCAGGCTGCGTCGGTGGTTCTGCACCCGCGCTGGCCCGACTCGTGGCTGGGCAGCGGTAGCCGTTCGGCATATGCTCTTTTTTTGGTTAGCTGGCTGGCTGGCCGCCGCAGCACTGCGGCTGATGGGCCTTGATGTCCCTTGCAGGAGACTGGCGGGAGTTCCGCGCAAAACTAGTTGCCGACGAAGGTGCGGCGCATGGCCTGCTGTCCTGCCGATGTGTGGTTCCCAAGCACCCCACATCACTTACCAGCCAACAATCCAGGCCCACTTACCCCCTCCCGCCGCTGCTGCCGCCGCTGGATGGCTGCAGGCGTGGGCAGGGGCTGGGCGGCGCGGCAGGCACAGCAGAACCTGCAGCTCCTCGAATCGCAGGCGAGCTCCGTCTCCAGAGGGGATGCATCACGCTGTGTGCCTGCCGCCGCAACTCCACACCCGCCTGCTCCCTCCCCTCCTTTGTGCGCTGCACACCTGAGCCGGGTAGCCATCCGCCCTCCTCACAACCGGCCCCCCTGCTTGCCCGCAGAACCCGGAGCTGGCGCTGGAGGAGACGTGGGCGCATGCCACCGGCGCCGCCGAGGTGGGCGGCCTGCTGCTGGCCACCCTGGACGCCCCCAAGCTGCTGGGCGACGAGTACTGGCAGGTGCGCCGCCGGCCGGCGCCCGCGCAGGCATGCAGCGTGTTTTGTTTGGCCTGGTGGCAGAGGCAGCCGGCACCTGCACCTCCTCCCTGGGCTGCCCCGAGCCGTGTGCCGCACCGGCCTGCTCGCCACGCGCACACTCACCACCACGCCACCGCCCCACCAGCCCTCACACACTGACACGCCACCCCGCCCCACCGTGTGCCCCCGCCCGCCTCCAGGCTGTGGTGTTCATCATCCGCCACGACGAGCAGGGCACCCTGGGCCTGATCCTGAACCGACCCACCAGCCTGCACATGGGGCGCGGCCGCGGCGGCCTGCCGCTGACGGTTGAGGTGAGTGAGCCCTCGCTGTGGCCGGCAGCGGTGCACGGCTTCCCGGAGACACCCCTGCGCCGCACGGCCGCCCCCCCCTGCCACCTGCTGGCCAGGCGCCCTCACACGTGCTGGCAGCGGTGTGCACCGCGCAAACGCCATGCCGCTTGCTGCTGCCGCTGCGCCCTGCAGGGCATGGAGAGCATGCGGGAGGCCTTTGGCGCCAGCCCCCTCTACTGCGGCGGCTTCAAGGCGCAGCAGGTGCGGCGGTCGTGGCGGCGCGCGCGCGTGTGGCCGGCGTGGTGTGGGTAGCAGCCCCAGGATGGCAGCGAGGCATCAGCTGGTGCCGTCTAGGGCACGTTTGTGATGCGTGTGTTGCGTGCGCGCCACCACCACTGCCACTGCTGCCCTGGCCGCTGCGCAGGCCATCACGCTGTTGCACGGCCAGCGCCGCCTGGAGTCTTGCATGGAGGTTGTGCCGGGCATCTACATCGGCGGCCAGAATGCGGCGGTGGTGGAGGTGACGACGGGCGGGCTGTCGCAGGTGGGTGCTGTCTGTGTGCGGCTGTGTGTGTGTGAGAGTCAGAGAGCGTGGCGGAGCTGGGTGGCTGGGTGCTTGTGGTCACGTGACAGGCCCGGGTGGCCGGCCGGCCGGCTGGCTGGCTGGGAGTTTGTTTTGTTGTTGGTCAGTGCCCTTGCTCGTGGTTGCGTGTGCGGCCCCAGGTCAACGTTTGCCTGCCTGGCTGCCTGCCGCTGATTCACCTGCCTGCCTGCCCCACCTGGACCCCCCACAGAGCGACTTCCGCTTCTTTGCCGGCTGCTGCTCCTGGAAGCCCGGCGAGCTGGAACAGCAGATCTCCCGAGGCGCTTGGCAGCCGGCGGCCTGCAGCCGCACGCTAGTGCTCAAGCAGTGCCTGAAGCTGCCCGTGCCGCTGTGGCGCGAGTGCATGTGCCTGCTGGGCGGCGAGTGGGCCGAGGCGGCGCGGCGGCAGCGGCGCATCGACGAGGGGTCAGACTCTGAGGAGGAGTGAAGCTGCCGGCTGGCGCACGCCTGCGACGGCGTGGAATAGCCACGTCTGCAGCATGGGCGCCGTGCTATGGCCCATGGAGGCCCTCCCAAAGTGTGCACTACATACGATACTGCCCTCCCGAACGGCCGCTTGCATTCAAGCGTGGCCGTACCGTAGCGTCTACTAGCCTGTCCCATCCAGCTATTTATTTTACTAACCCATCATCAATCATGTGAGGTATGTGCCTCCCTCAAGTGCTGGCTTGTAAAAATTCAACGAGAACCAGCTAGCTGAGCTGCCGTCCACCAGGCGCTGTACCGCGCCGTGCTGACGCTGCGCCTGCTGCCGCTGATGGCCATGGAGTCAAACGCGTTCCGGCCTGATCTGCGCCACCACTTGTTTATGCGAATCGCTTGCATCAGGCTGGCTTTGCCCACCAGCTCCCCATGGCTCAAACTGTGCCCAGAGATCACAATGTGCCTCGACCAGGCGCCGATAGGCCTAGATGGCTTTAAATGTTCCCCACTGCTCCCACAAATTGACGGTGGTGGGAAATGGATTCGCTCGGAGCGTGAGCGTGCAGCCCGTATGTCACACTTTGCAACATGTTTTGGACGCTGTGGCCGGCCTCCTTGAACAAGGTGAGCTGCCGGATTCCAGAGAGCGCGCCAGAAGGGTTGCCTAGGGTTGCCCGCCGCCGCTGCCGGCTTGCCTCTTACACCGCTGCCGCCCGCCAGACCCGCCACCGCGAGATGCAACCCTGCTCCTGTGCAGGCACCTGGCTGGATCTGGAGATGGATGATGTGGAGACGATGCTGCCTCTGTACCCAATGAACGTGGCGGGTGCGTGCCGCTGGAAGCAGCCGCTGCTCTTGCAGGCGTGCGCCCGACTGCTTGCACCCATGCTTCTCCTCGCCTTTCCTTCGTGCGCCCCTGCCAGGCACAGGCCCCTACCACCGATTCTTCCTGGCCCCCGCCCCGCCGGGGCAGCAGGCGGGCGCCCACGGCGGCAGCGACGCCGACCCCTGCCTGCTGCAAGTGCGGGGTAGCCCGCTGCTCGCGCACCGCCCGCCGTTGCTCAGCGTGCCGGCTGCGCCCTACCGCATGGGCATCGCCGCCCACCGAGTGCACGCCTGGACGCCCGGCCACCAGCTGGTGCGTGCGTTGCTGCTGGGGGGCCTGGGATGGGGTGGGGTGGGCTGGGCTGGGGTGGGCTGGGCTGGGCTGGAGATGAGCCTCCCCTTGTCTG